GTGTGGGGGAGAGAAATGTTCCCTCGGGGCCTCCACCTCTATCGGCCCCGGCTGAATCAATCTTAAAGCACATTTATAATATGGGATTAAAATGCTGATGTCATACACAGGTTACATAATGTCCCCCCGCTCAGCTATTTATACGTCATGCAGCTATTTCTGTGTGAAAAAAACAAATATAATTAATGGTAGTACTTTTAAATGTGAATTAATAGGTTATTTTGATATTAAAACTCAGATTTGGCGCTGGTTTAAATGTGATTTATATACACATACAGCCAGAGGGATAATTCCTATAAAGATAGATTTATTTAATTCAAGTGTCATTAGAGTATATGCATTTGGTCTTTTTTTATTTTATTTTATAGGATAGGAAATTAAATGGATTACATGTGGTCTTTGCGGAAATTCACCTCAACAGACCTTTTATTGTGACACAAAAACCGATTAAACACAACACTGAAGGAGGATTATAGGATTCAAGATGACACCCCCCATATCTAGATGGAATCAAATACAAGAAAATAAAGTGTTATTCATGCTTATCTTCAATTTCTAAAGACATCAGAAACAAACTGAGCCTTAATGAGTGAACTATGTGAGGCTGCAGGGCCATCTAGTGGTTAAATTGTGCAATTCCTGTTTTGAAGACAAATCCAACATGGCGGCTCCCGTGTTGACGTTTCCAGCTGAGGAACTGCTCATGTGAAGGAGCTGCAAACCATGAAGGATTTCAGGTAAACCAACTCAAAAAGGAACATTTTACTTTGTGGACTGATGCATAATGCAAGAGCTTGTGTTAAAAGCTGCAGAACTTGAAAGACATTTTTTTCCCACACCAAAAATCGAAAACAACAACATCTATTTCCAAGTATTTTCTTTACCATTAAAACAGGAGAAAGGACAGCGCATTCCTGCAGGTTTAAATGCATACTTGACATATTAAATTAGACACTTTTGGAATGTATCCTTTATTTCACATGTGTATTCACCAGTAAATCCATCACTAAAAGTCAAAATTGTACGACCACAGACACAAGTAGCCCCCCTAATCTTCTTGTCTGTTTCCTCGCAGCCATCATGGATGCCAAAGAAGTAATCTACTGTGCTGTGCAGATAGAGAGATCCCTCACAGACGGGAGCTATGGGACCATCCTGACCCTGCTCGGTGACCTCGATAAGTCTCAGGTCACGGCGGAGCAGCTGGAGACCACAGACATTGTGAAAGTGCTCTACAGGCTCCTGAGAAGCTGCTCTGATGACAGCGTGAAGCAGACCGCTAAAGGCCTGTTGTCTAAGTGGAAGAGACAGTACAGCAAAGGAGCACATGGAGTGAAAAGCAAGGAGGCCTCTCGTAGGGTTTCTCCTCCACATGAGGCTGGAGATGGAGCAAAGCAAGAGGATTCCCACTTTGAGGTAGAAGCTTCCTGTAGTTTCTCATCTGTGAGATCTAAGTGTGTCCAGCTCCTTCTTTCCGCCCTCTGCCCTGAACCTCCTGATCAACACAAGGCTGCAGATCTGGCTGCAGATATAGAAAAGCACGTCCATGAGCTCCACACACCCAGCCAGGTGAGATACAAAGCCTGTGTGAGGAGCAGGGTGGCCAACTTGAGGAATCCCAAACACAAGCATCTGCGTCAGGGCCTCCTGAGCGGCGCACTGTCCCCGGAGGTGTTTTCCCGGATGTCTGCTGAGGAGATGGCGGGCGCGGAGCTCCGGCAGCTGAGGGAGGAGTACTCGTGGAGGGGGGTGAGCGAGAGGCAGCTTCCTCAGGGAGTCGAAGGGACACAGACGCAGAAGATAAGGTGCAAAAACTGTGGGGGGTCGGACTGTAGGGTGAGCCAGGTGTCCCGGGGGGCCCTGTTCCTGCCGGCGTGGGTGAGGCAGAGCAGCCCCGATGACGACTCCATGACCTTTGTGACCTGCAGCGGCTGTGGGCAGCAGTGGTACCACAGCGGCTGGGTCTGCCTCTGAATACACACAAACAAAGGACAGAGCATTTTTGCATGTTTGAGCAGATACTTGAGATTTAAATAAGACTTTTTTAAATATGCGTTCTTTATTTCATGTGCATTCACCAGTTACTCCATTATGAAAAGCCCAAACATTGCCTAATGCAGCTGCAGAGTAAAACCACAGCTTTTAAATAAGTTGCTCCATCATCTTCCTCCCGCTAAATCAGTTCCTGCCTCCTGCACTTAATCTACTTAATCATTTAAATGCTTTTCCTGAATCCTCTTTCTCACGTGAACAATTTATTGCCAGGGTAATGATGTAAATCCACTTTGGTAAGACCTCTGACCTCACTAATGTGTCGTTTTCTGATGTTAAGGTACTCAGCTGCTCCTAGTGTAAGTAATTACATTCACGCCCCTCAATTCCTATAATATCCCATTCATTGGAGCTGCACTGGACGAGACATGTGATCTTAGAAACACTTGGGCGTGTGAGTCAGTAATCCCCCTCCCTTCCCCCATATCCCATGATCCTTCACTTCATGATGTGGCACAATGACTAGTTTACACGTCATCGTACAAAACAATCTGAATACTTTCATAAATATCACTTTTTAAAGTAGAAGTAGCTGTATCTGTATCTCTATCTTGTATCTGAAGCTGGCTTTTAAAAGCTAAATTAGGCATGTCCGAAGATAAACCCCTAATTCTCACGGTTCTCATGCGGCTGTATTATCTTGCCAGTTGTTGTTCGGTATCTCAGCACTGTGGCTTCTCAGATGCTCACTATCTTTTAAGTGTTAAGTGACAGATTCCCTCCCGTCAGATCTGTCTCTCACATACACACAGATACAAACAGACAACACACAGATACAAACAGACAACACACAGATACAAACAGACAACACACACTGCAGACAGAGGTAGGAAGTGTTGGGCTCCTTTGGTTGATCTTAACCATCAGTAAGAGGCTTAAAAACTGCATAAATTATATTGCAATTCACAGTTATATTTCCAGGTATTATCAGTTCACCTAAAACAAATATTTGAATGTAAACTGGTCTCAAAAAGGACATAGGACAGACAAAAAAGTGCAAGAAAAATACACAAAACATTGTTTTTATTTTATTAAAATATTGGAAATTAAACAGATACATAGGTAAACATTTATAAAGACAAATAAGAGCATAACAAATATGATTATTACATGGAATAAACATAAATCAACATTTTTGATTGCTTTTTTAATTAATTGTTCTTATATAGGTCAATGTATTTTTTGAAACACGAATTTGATGTATAATTTAAATAAATGTACAATTAGGAATGTAGAAATTATAATGTGGTTGATTACAAAAATAGTAGTTCTCATAGACAGAATTGTTACCTTTAAAAAAACATTTTCCAGTAAAATAAATAAATAAAGATGAATACAGATATTATAAGATATTAGGTGAAATCTCCACATATATTTTTGCCACAGTTTACACAGGTTTGATTATTAAAAACTTCCTGAACAGCTGTTAGTTTCAGTGTAAAGGGGACAATAAATGGTGCATTCACGGACATCCACATGATGAGGAGGCGTGACTCTCCCCGGTCATGTGAGCGTCACCAGCGGCTGCGGGGCCAAAGAGCAGCGGGGACACCGGAGCGCCATGTCACTGGCGGACAGCAGCACCCTGGCGGGATGGTGGATTGGATTTAACTGGACAGCGACAGCGACACCGACAGGTAGAGTTATTAAGATGGCAAAACTTTACATCTAAGTGTCAGAAATCTGTTATTTCCGTCGTTTTTATCGGTCAGTAAAGTAGCAACTGTTAGCTCACCCATTATCGGACAGCTACACGTTATGGTAAGGCTTCCATTATCGGACATGCCTTTTTTTGCTTTGCTTCTTTCAACAATTGTATCAACATGTTAGCGGGGACCCAACACAAGAAAGCAGCTTAAAAATAATTAACCATGTGCATAAAAGTGTATGCAGGATTAGGAGTGATACCAGCTCTTGTTTTGAACCAAATCTGTGCGGCAATAACTTGAGTCACGGTTAAGCTAACTACATTTAGTAGAGAACTACAAAGTCCTGATGAAGCTATGAGAGTAAGATAGCAATTATGGCGCTGTAAAGTAATTAAACAACAGTTTAACATTATCACAGTAAGTTTGCAAAGTTACATCCTACTGTAAAACGATTTTTCCACTGCGAGTTTAATAAATCTTGTTAATTGATAGTAAATATGTTATAGGCTCAAATTATGGCAAAGCTTTACCATGCTAATTTAGAATAGTGTCTCCTTAACATTAATGGACATTCAATATCTATGTAATCATGTGTGTGGTTGTTTTAAGGAAGTATTCATGACTAATGGAAATAGGCCTTCCAGCATTTCTCTGAATGCAGCACATGACTCCTGTGTGTGTGTGTGTGACTGTTTCCATTCACTCCTGTTTTAATGGCATTTCTGCTTCTTAATAAATGTTTGTTTCTCCAGAATGAATGTCAAAGACAGTAATGCAGTCTGTGTTTAAAGATTTTAGAACAAAGACATCATTTACCCAGTTCTGCACCTCGGGCTGAACACGCTTACTATTTACTAGCAGCTCATGTGACAGTTCATTCATGTCTTTCATCTCTGCAGCCTAACCAGCAGGGGATTTGGCCAGTTCGTCCTAATTACCTGCAGACTGCATGCACACTCATGTAATATGTTGTGACAGTTGTAGAAGGGATTGCTTTTGTTAAATGTAGTTATATCTCAAGAAAAAGTGCCAAATGTCACCTTGTTATAACTTCTTAGATGTGAGGGTTTTACACTTTGCTTTCTCTTTTGTGGTAGCTAACTGAATATCCTTCGATTGTGGACTGCTTGTCGAATAAAACAATACATTACGATAAATCTACTTGAGCTTTAAAAAATTTAAATGGCCCTATAATCTAATACGAGACACATTTGGTGTATTTTATATAAAATAAATAGATGTTTGGTGGAGTATTCCTTTAAAGGCATTATTATGAAAGTTATTTGTTATCCAGATACTTCATATATAAAGTATCTATCTATAAAATCTACATCTATTAAAGTAGCTAGAAGTGTGTACATGTAGGCCAATGACAAGTAGAAAGCTTTCTTAGAAGTACAATTTATTTCATATAAGTACATGTAACAGGAAAGTCACCCACACACACTTGCTGATACGGTGACAGACAGTGATGTATGAGGTGTTGTTCCTCCTGCTCAGACTTCTTCTCTCAGATTTGTTTTGGTATGTGGGAGGAATTATTGCTATTTAGCTTACACTGGTATGTTAAGCATGCATAGATGTGTGGTGTCAGATTAAATTGATGCTAAATCCCCGGATTATTAGTCATCTAAGCTGAGCCTGGAGGTGGGTGAACTCCTTGCAGACTTGGATTTCATATGTATATATTCTTTTTGCCTTTACCTCTTTTCCCTCTTTGTTAACTCTTCTCTCTCTGTCTTACAGATTGCTGAAAAGATTAAGATCTGATATACTGGTGAGTTTTAATATATTTTTTTCTGTTGTTGAATCACTTTTGGACCACTCACTTCCTGGTCCTGTGATCAGCGTCCATGTGATGTACAGCACGCATGATTTCATGCAAAACACACGGCGTAGGAAGTTCATTAGTTGCGTAGTGTAATCTCTGCGCTGCGGCTGCTTTTAATAGGATTAGTTAACTGACTTGAATCACAGTCAGAGTGGGGGGTCACAGAAAGTTAGTATTCCTCTCAGGCTGACCAAGTGGAAGCTGTTTTTATCTTTCCTGAAGGAAAACCTGACAGGAAGGATTTGACTAATGTCTGATAAAAGCCATCAGTGGTTTGAAACTGCATGGGTACTTATTCTGTACGGACAAGGCCTATTCATTTCATGCCATGATTTACTATACCATTTTTTTTTTTGATAGCACACAGAAATACTGATATTTTCACCTCTATGTAATCAATCCAGAATAAACTTGAAATCAGAAAAATACAGAAGATTTCCTGTTGATATTTCGCCCAGCTTACTGCAGCCCTACAGTACATACTGCACTAAGCATTGGTATTATGCACTACATCTGTACAAACACAGCTACTGTCTGTTGTTTTGCTTCTAAATTGAGTTCATTTCTTTGTGCTCCTCAGGTGCTTCCTCTATTATTTGTGTCTCACAACTCCTAAACTCTCCGAGCCACGATGGCCAAGTCGGCCCTCCTGAAGGTCATCCTGCTGGGTGACGGTGGCGTGGGAAAGTCGTCCCTCATGAACCGCTACGTCACCAACAAGTTCGACTCGCACCTCTTCCACACCATCGGCGTGGAGTTCCTGAACAAGGAGCTGGAGGTGGACGGCCACCTGGCCACGCTGCAGATCTGGGACACGGCGGGTCAGGAGCGTTTCCGCAGCCTCCGTACGCCGTTCTACCGCGGCTCCGACTGCTGCCTGCTCACCTTCAGCGTGGACGACGGCCAGAGCTTCAGCAACCTGAGCAACTGGAAGAAGGAGTTCACGTACTACGCCGACGTCAAGGACCCCGACAACTTCCCCTTCGTGGTGCTGGGCAACAAGCTGGACGTTCCCGAGCGGCAGGTGTCGGGGGAGGACGCCCGGCAGTGGTGTCGGGAGAACGGAGGACACCCGTACTTTGAAACCAGCGCCAAGGATTCTACCAATGTGGCGTCGGTGTTCGAGGAGGCGGTGCGTCGCGTCCTGGCGATGGACAACAGAGCGGATCACCTCATCCACAGCAACACGGTGGACCTGCAGAGGAAGAGCCCCCCCGAGTCCACCTGCTGCTGAGCGGACCCCCAGCAGGTCACCCCCGTGGTGTGAGACTCTGGAGAAAGAGGAACTGGGGTCTGCTCAGTTTTTCAGAAGCAATAACTGAACATTTTGTGCCAATATTCATCGTTTTACCACACAAGAGACACAAAACTCCCAACTCTGATCCAGATCTTTGTGGGGAATGTGCTTTTTAATTTATACAAAGCGTGAATGGACAGTTATTAGACTGATATTTCTGAGTTGTATTGATTTATTTGTCACCAATGAACCTTCAAAAGATGGAATGTGTGGACAAACCTGATGGTCTAAAGGCCTTTAGAGCGTTATTGTGACTTTAGTTGAAAAGCTAAGCTATGTCATCTCTAAGCAAACTGCCAAAAGTAAAAAAAACTTGTTATATTTGCATTTCTAGAAACAGCATTCTTATTATCTTTTCCATCTTGACACACAGCTGATATAAATGTACCTCAAATGGTATGTGGTCTATCAAATTACAGGTAGAAACCACTATTTCTGGCACTACATTTTGTAGCATAATTTGTTCCAGATACAAATATTAATTTCTGTTCTAATTGGAGGATATTGTGTGTTGATATAAAAACCTAGTAATGCCATGATTTAATTTAGTGTTTCTCTCAGGAAGAGTTGTTTAGTTCCTGTATTTAAGTATTAATCACTACCCCTCCTCTAACTATAAAAGTGGAGCACAACATGAAACTCTAATTAATCTGTGGCCTTAACATTTATTATTAAAAATACTTTCTGTATGGTATATGACTCCCAGTATTTTCTACACTGGAGATAAAGCAGTCCCCATCAATAAAACTGGATAAAATGTGTGTGTGTTATTCACGTTTAATTATGAGCGTAGTTCCCTCTTTGGTCCACAAGAGGGCGCCCGTGTACAATAAATGAATGGTTCCACAGTAACATGGGTTAGCTCCATCTCAAATGGATTTAATGTGCTTTAAACCATAAAATATTCATTTATTAATCAGGTTAGAGTTAGAGCTTTTTCTGGGAATAATGTGGGCTCATTAAGTTATATATCTAATTATTTTTGTTTCCTACAGAATTGTTGCAAATAAGGCAGATACTGTCTGCATGCACAGAGGTCTAATCAGGCATCAAGTGAAATCACGTGTGTGTGTGTGTGTGTGTGTGTGTGTGTGTGTGTGTGTGTGTGTGTGTGTGTGTGTGTGTGTGTGTGTGTGGGCGGGCGTCTCTACAAAGGAGGCAATCATGTCGATAACAGCCAAGAAATGCTAAGTTCCAAACTAAAAATACAGGTAGGAGTTTTCTTTTTGTAAAATTATTTGTCATTATTTTATATTGTAGAAAAATGTGCTTTAGATACTTTTAACAGAACATTTATCAGAAAACATTTGAGAAATTAATTGAGTTTACAATGCTCTATTCCTACATAAATAGGGTCGCAACTAAAAATTGTTTTAATGGTCTGGTATATAAAAAGTCAGGAAATATTCAAATAAAAGGCTGTGAACATTTCTCATAGTCCAAGAAAATGTATTATTTTGTCTAAAATCAACAGATATTTAGTGATTGATATGGTATAAATATAGGAGCAGCAGGAAATCTACATATTTGAGAAGCTAAAAAGTAACTTCATGAGAAAAAGGCCATTTGAAGACGTCAAGTATTAACATTTCTAAAAGTCCACTATTTGTCACATGTTTTTAATGCCTTGAATATAAGTTTGTTACCATAAACATGAAGTTAAAAATCAAATAATTTTACAGACCCGAACACAAGAACGAGACAGGAGACAAACGGTGTCACGATAATAAAAAATATCGGTTTTACTAGAGAAGGTTACAAAAATCATCACTATATAGGAGTCATAGAACTATTTCCAACTTAAAAAATCAAACCATAATGAAACACCTACAGGGACTACAATACCATCAAATACAATGGAGTTTTCTTTAGAAAAGAGTGGGTGGAAAGGGTAGGGGGTGTAGGAGGAGGAGGAGGAGGAGGAGGAGGGGAGGGCAGGGCAAACACCGCCTACCATAGTTGTCAGAACATTTGACTACACATCACCTGAAAAACTGCAAAGACACAGTCATGTCTCCTTCATGCAAATAACGAGGAAACGACAACACCCTGACACGCATCGTCTTATAGGAAATTGAAGTTTGCCTTTACATCAACCTGGTGGCAAAGCACGTATATTTATCAAACAAAACACACATGGCAATATAGTCCTTTTTTATACAGAATAGACAGCTGCACACATGGACGATACTGACATGCTTCATCTCATCAAATCTTCTTCAGTGTTTTTTAAAGGGGCCCTGTTATGCTCATCTTCAGGTGTATATCAGTATGTAGTGTCTCTACTGTGACATGTCTCCATGCTTTCATGTTCAACAAGCTCTTTATTTTTCTCATACTGCCTGCTCTTTTCACCCTCTGTTTGAAACCAGAGCCTAGTCTGCTCTGATTGGTTAACTGGTAACTTAGTTACCCTTTAGAGATGTCCCGCCCCTTAACCTATACATACAATGTGTTTGAGTTCTATCCAATAGAAGCACAAGTGTTACACAGTGATGTCACTATGTTATGGAAGTAAACAAAGGAATCCAATGGAGGCGTTTCAGGCAGGGTGGGGGGGGAGTGTGTGGGAGAGAAACTCCCTCTGGAGGGAACACAGGGATTTTAGCCTTTGCAGACCATTGACATGCAACTATATAAGGAAATAGAGGGAAGGGAAACCCCAGAAAGCATAATAGGGCCTCTTTGAGGGTCGACTAACCAGTGTTCGGTATAGAATATAGTTCATGATATTCAAACAATATCTGATTATAAAATCAATGTATGAAAATTCCTGACTTGATTTATTTCAGAGTGTAAACACTTTCAAAAAAGTCGTTTGGCTGCCCATTGGAGAAAAAAAACAACCCACAAATTAATCCATAAAATTACTGAATCACAAGATTAATAACCCAGCTGCCTAAAAACTGAGAAAACATTAAAAACCTTCCATATTTATTTTTTCTTTACATTTAAAAATGTGTACGTCACAAGCACCTCAATCCATCGTGTCATATCTTAACTGTACTGCATCCCTCTCACCACGTAACAATTAGTATTTATATCAAATGCAGAACTAGTATTTGAGTGCTAAACACATATCCCAAAGGGTACATTTACATATATCTGTGGAAAAAAGAATAGAAGAGCATGGCGAAACACTGTTCTTCTTATTTTAAGGAAAGTGTACATTTTTTTAAGGGTTTAGCTATTTACAGGTGGATTTCATTCACAAAAGGAGAAATTTGCAAAAAAAAGTTATAATTGTCACAGGACAGCGTACCAATCCGGTAGATTCCGTTTAGCGTCAAAAGAACAAAAGTGGCTAAAATCAGATTTGGTTTGATACCTGAGGTGTGTGTCTGTTTTGTGTTCAAATACCATTTATCTTTGATTTGTTGCCGCTGGTGATAAGTGTAGCTTAAGACTTTCATTTACTTTCTTGCAGAGAGTAAGACGATACAATCTAACTCTTGGCAAGAAAATACGCAAAAGTTCCCTCAAATAAGAAGTTGCTCCACCTCTGGTCTTAATAACTGATAATAACCATGGCAGAATAATAAGCTTTTGTAATGTAAATGCTCAGTAATCCTTGAGATCTCACATTAGATGTTTCTATGAGACAGAGGGGGGTTGTTAAGGGGTTATCGTCCTCCCTTTATTTTTTGTTTCGTAATAATAGTGCAACAACGTATCGAGCATTAGAAATAAAAAGTCTAAAATGGAGAAGAAAGAAAAACAGTGGCCGCGAAAACATAAAGAAGAAGAAAAGAGTACCTGGCATACTTCTCAGAGAGTATTAAAAAAAACAACAACATTCGTACACATTCGCACAATATATTCATATATATATGCATATAAAACACCAAAAAAGGAGGAATTTGGTCGCTGCCTGACGACAGTGAACAATGTTTTTTTTTTATACGGAGCTGTTTTTTGGCTCCTAGCGCGAGGCCATCACAGCCGGGGCCACGTTCACGAGCCGCCGCCCTAACGCTCGGGGGGGGAGACGCTTCTGAACGGACGCTCCGGACCTGAGCGAGCACCCGGCGGGCGAGCTCTCCCGTTCTGAAGCATCTGCCTCCAGCCGCCGCTCCTCACTCTCCACCCTGCTCCTTTCGATGGGGAAGGGAGGAGGGTGGGGGACCAGGAGGGGCTCGGGGGACTATCAAACATGGCCGAGGTGGTTTGTTTTAACAGAGGGAGGGGTCGGGTGTCGCGGGGTGGGGGTGTGGAGGTGTGGAGAGGACGCGGTGAGGAGCTGTCCTCCTTATGAGTAGGAGGAGGAGTTCTGGCCCTCCTTGGAGCGCGCCTCCGCCTCCAGGTCCTGGTCGTCCTTGGTCTTGATGTCCTGGTAGTCGTGCGTGGACACGGCGCTCTTCAGGTAGGCCCAGTTAGCGCCCAAAATCATCAGGTAGTGGATCTGGAGAGGAAACACAAGTACTTAAAACAAGCTTAAGTAGCATTGTAGTGTCCCAATCACACACTAATCACAGCACCACTCGGTTAGCAACATGGTATGGTTTGGTGACGTCAATGTAGGGTGACTTAGATTAGTTGCATTACATGGCTTAGTTGAATACTCGATTCTCATTGGGCGATTCGGACATTTCAGAGTTGTGCTTTAGACATTTTGTTCCAAATTCCTCTCTTCCTATCCTGTGAGCTGGAGCACATCACAGAGCGGAGGGGGCGTTCAGATGATCCACCTCAACATCTGCTTATTGCTTTTTTTAGCATCTCCATTTCCCTGGACGTGAAACAAAGCGGTCCGCCTCCACAGCAGAGTGAAAACACGCTGACCCCGTCTCCTCTCGCTCACGCAGGCTCAGATTTCACCCCTTCAGGCGGACATGCTGACAGAACGTGGCGCAGCACATTATCAGTGATCTTACCAGTGCGATGACGGTGGCTCCGGCGCCGGCGAACGCGACGATGTAGAGGTGGTAGGAGAGGTAGAACTGTGGGGGGGGAGACAGAGAGTTAGAGAGGGGAGATGAAGGGAAATAAAAGAAGGGAAGGGTAGTCCTCTCACCTCGCTGGTGTTACAGATGTCTCCCAGTGTGGCCCCACAAGCTTTTCCCGGAGTGGCGTTCCAGGGAATAATACCTGCGGGATGAGGGAGATAAAATGTCAAGAAGCTTTCTCCTCCCCCGAGGCTGCATTAACAATCGGATAAAGATTAAAGAAAAGCGCTGAGCCGCTCCCACAGGGAAAATATGGGTCGCTTTTTTACAGTTTTTCAAAACCAGCGAGTGTGTCCCTTTTAACTTTTTCGCCTTTTCAGCATAATTATAAATAAGATAAAAGCTTGGATAATAATTTGCCAGTAATTGGGGTTAATATTTGATACAGTGTAGTAGCAGGGCTGCCAGCAGCATATGTGATCCTCATCCTACTTTGCGGGCGAGCCAGCTGTCCTTCAAATGTGGGTCACACCCCCTACATTAGGCCCTCACAGATATGCAATCATTGGAGAGCGCTACTGTGCCGTAATACTGCAGCAATGTGGATTTTCATAGAGATCCAATCAGCCTCTCAATAATCTAAATGTATTTGTTGACCTCTTCCTATAGTGGATGACATTTCAAGTAGAGGGATACATATGTTAAGTGAAGGGGTAAAGCCTTTTGGATTATTTTCTATATTTTGCAGGTAGAGCTAAATGTGTGTGGATGAACTAATGAAATATTACTGATTCCAAGATGGAACAAACATATCAAAACTACGGTGGCCAACAGGGGCAAACGGACCAATACACTAACATTCGGAGAAAGGTGCTTCACTTTCACAGACGATGCAAATATAAAATGAAAGCTGAATAAGTTAAGTAACTTCTTAAGTATGATATTGAGCCTTACAACATATTTTCTTTCAGTTAAATTGGTGTTTTATTAACTAAGTTTGAAATGGTGATTGCACAGCTGATCCCAATGACCTGTGATCAGAGGAGGAGCCTTGATGAGCTCAGCTGTGCAGACACAGAGCGGTATAAAGGAGAGGCTGCTCTCACAGGGTGTTTCTCAATGTCGAGTAAAGGTGCTTCAGAGCCACTATTTCAAGCATACTACGTCATCGAGTGCCGCCGAAGGACTGTTCCAATGTTAAGCATACTTGAGAGGTTTCTCAATACTCTAATTTCCCCTCCTCGACTCCTCGACTCCTCGACTCTAGATGCACATCGAGGACCGAGCATCGAGGAGGCTCTCTGGAGGAGCTCTAACCGAGGAGACACTGATGGGTCCTCCACGGCTCCTCCACGGATGCATTTCCGGGAACGGTGGAGGCGTGACGCATGGCCGGACTTATCTTATCTTAGCCAATGACAGCTCTGCATGCATCCCCTGGATATTATTTTAGTAACCACTTGAACGGCGACGCAATGTTTACAGTGAGAACAGCTGTGAGGTACGTGCAGAAAGCAGAGCAGTGTGTATAATATATATCACTCAGTATAACAGGCCTACATTACTCTCTTTGTATGCTGTAGTTTAGTAGATATCTACAAAGAAAGAGTCGATATTTTTCTAAGACCATTTAGTGCTTCACATAATAAAATACACAACGGCTGTAGCCTGATTATGCTTTAGGAGCTGTAGGTGTGTGTGGTACAGTGTGTAGGTGTGTGTGTGTGTGTGGTACAGTGTGTAGGTGTGTGTGTGTGGTACAGTGTGTAGGTGTGTGTGTGTGTGTGTGTGTGTGGTGGTACAGTG